GTTATGAGTCATACAATTTGATATCCGTTATGTGGATATTATTATGGTTATAATTATTGTTATTATTTATTATTGTTTATAATTGTTATTATTATTTATTATTATATTATTTAATATTATTTATTGCTAGTAGTGTATTATATGATGGATTATTTAAATTGGCCAGGAGTGTGAGAGTAGAAATGGCTCATTTTTCGAAGAAATAAACTAAATGTGTTCTGATTGGTTGAGTGCTGTTTGGTTATGTATTATGCATTGTAATGGGTTGTTTAGTTATTATTTATTTATTTTTTGGGATTATTTATTTTATTTTATTTATTTTTATTTATTATTATTTATTTATTTATTATTTATTATTTATTTGAATTTTTAAAAAATAATTATTTTGAGTGATATTTATGATGAGATGTATCTGGTGATTTTTGGATTGAATTATTTTCACGTTGAGAGGTAATTTGGGTGAGTAATGCGATGGTGCGGGTGAATCATAACGGTATGGGTGGGATGATGTGGGAGTGCTTGTTGTGATTAATATTTATTATTATTATTAATATTATTTATTATTATTATTTATTATTATTTATTATTATTATTGTGGATGATTTTTATTTATTATTGTATATTATTGTTGATGTAATGTAGTAGGGTTGCTGGCGTAGAGACTTCATCGTTGGTCGCACATTCGATATTGCACACTCGATAATATATGAACGTCTGGAAGATTGAGCGCAACTTGAACCTGAAATTAATTTCAGGTTTCGGTTCTCTTCGAGAGAAGAGATCGACGCACTCGCTCACCGGTTGCACTCTTGGGATAGTGTGTGTGTGTGTGGAAAAGTAAACAACAGCGAAAAAAAATTTTCGGGAATTTTATTTCACAAGCGAATAACTAAAATTGCATTCGACTCTCATCGTTCAGCGTCGCAATTTCCATTTGGACGGAATTTTTTTGTTTGCCGAGGCGAAAAAAATTTTGGAAAAAATTTTAAATTTTCCAAGAAAATTTTGAAAATTTTTACGAGAAATTTTTACGGAAAATTCCGGTGAAAATTTGAGAAAATGTTAACGTCGAATCGACGCGGACGTATGGAGGAGAGTGTTTGCAGTGCGCGTGACGGTGATCTGGTGAATATATCGATATCGCGCATTGTGGCCGATTTCTTCATTATGTTGTGTTGCGGTGAGTGGCGGGTCTCGAACGGAAAATTCTATTTTTTTCATTTTTCATTTTTTCATTTTCGGTTTTTTCGGAATTTTTTCAAAATTTTCATTGAAATGTAACTTTTTCTGCAAAAAATTTTTCGGAATTTTCCAAAATTTTTCGGTTTTCAAAGTTTGAGTTTTGTTAAGGAAACGGGGGGGGGGTTGGTAAATTGTGGTCGTTAAATTGAACGATAAGAAATTTCGAGATTTTTCTTTGGAGTGAATTTTTTTTAAAACCATTTTCCGGGGGATTTATTTTATCTATTATTTATTTATTTATATATTTATTATTATTATTATTGTTATTACTATTAATTATTATTAAT